TACTACTACTACCACCACTACCACCCTCACGACGAGTACTGCTACTGTCAATGCTACTGCTACTAATACGGCTGCTGCTGCTGCTGCTAACACTCCCACTACAACTACCGCTCCCACTACGACTACGACGACGACTCCTACTACTAATACTACTACCACTACCACTACTCCTACTACTAGTACTACCACACTACTACTACCACCAGCACGACGACGACGACGACGACGACGACGACTACTACTACTACACCTATCACGACGACGCCTACTACACCACAAAATACCAGGATTTCCGCCGGCTCCACCAGTATCATCGCCATCACTATCGCTCCCAACGACCACGACGATCACGCCTGCTGCTTGCTAGGACGGCGACTACCTACTACGGCGCATGCGCCGACGACTAATTCACCGATGCTGCTGTTCGTCCTATGACTGCATGTGACCATCAATTACGACGTACACTGGCGACGCTACGCATACGCTACTCACTCGCCACCCAAACCTACCCCTAAGCTGGCTCTGCGGTCCGCCGGTGATCGGACGATGGGCATGGCTTGAGTCCTGTGTTTGAAGAAGTCTATTCCATGCAGCTGCGGTCCAAGGGAAAAAGAGAGATAGAGAGAGAGAGAGAGACACAAAGGGAGGTGGAAAGCTCCACCGTTGCTGTTGTTGTTCCCGCAGCCTGTTTGCCTTTGCCCGCGCCGAGCAGCCTTGGAAGAGTCGGAAGATTCGCAGCAAACGGATCGCACGAAGTGTGCTCGCCGCTCGGAGTACATGGACTGCTGCCACTTGTGCGTCTGCACCGGCAGCGACAAATAAAGTCATGTCCGCGATGCCCACTGCCACCAAAGATAGGTCGTACCAGCCCGAGAAAGTACGGAAAAGTGCCCATCCATGAAGTCCCATCCGCAGCAACAGCTCGATAACAAAGACAGTGTCGAAGGCAATGTCGAGACTACGGAGGGGGAGGTTCAATTCTTGCAAACTGGTGAATGACGAGCTCTCGCCTGCGAGGTGCCCAGCGGCTCTTCCCTGCAACTCCAATTCCACGCACATAAAAATCAGGTTTATGGCCAGCACAAAACCTGTGCAATAGTCGAGGTTGAAACGGAGCCACATGGCCAACCTGCTCAAGCAGCTCTCTTCCTCCGTCGGTGGCCTTCCCATCACTGATGCCCGTGCGGCCACTGTGTGGGAAGAAGGGCTGATCATGCGCTGCAGGGTGTGGTCTGGGTCCTGCAAAGCGCAGCCCGCATCACAGGAAAGGGGGCAGAATCGGAGCATCATCAGAATAATGATGTCACACTTGCTTAAAATGAAGAATGCACCTTAGTCGAAAACTAAATCGATCGTGGTGTACTGAGAAAGTTATAGCGCTACAACTGATGTTCGCAGGCCGAATTAGGGTAGGCCAACATGCCTGGTTGTAAAGTAGCATTGCAGAGCAAGTTGATTGCAAGAATGACATGGACGCAAGCAAAATGCCAACCATGCTTCAACAGTGTCTTCAATACAAGACGTATGTACACAGACTCCACATACTCAGTATCACACCGATACTCTGGAGAATCTAGTTAAAGCTGCTATTCGCCGAAAGGATGGGACCTTAGAAAGCAAACTTGGAACCAGGTCACAGACGGTAAAGGTAGCATATAAAGGAGCCTGAAGACCGCTGAAAGGCGACCGCGGCGATGCGTCACTCTTCTGGCTTTCGTCGACAGTCCTAGGATTCGCAGCGTCCGAGCACATGTTGCGATGTTTCGTTCATAAAGGAATCCGACACCATGGTGGGAAATTGCGCAGGAGCGGGTAAGCAAGCGGGCCTGTCCAAAGCCTACACTGCGCTGCAACTTTTGACACTGAATCGATGCGCTCTAGACGAACATTTGGGCATGTTTTCTCTTTTCAAAGCCAGACGTGATTCTGATGCTAGTCCTGGCACTGCTGTCAAAGATGCAACTTCTGGCTAGTGAAACGAATGAGGTCAAGCATGCGAGCCGCGCCCTGCTGCAACTGTGAACACCGCCGTAGAACGCACCAAGCCGACGATGATAGCGATGACGTGATGATGCTGGTGAAAACCGTCACGCGGTTCATGCGTCAATTGTCGGATGAGCCATAGCAGTGATGGCGTTGGCTTTGGTGTGTGCAGATGCGCTCGTGGTGGTGACGATGGTAGAGGTAGCAAAGATGACGAAGAGTAGTAGCTTTGTAGAAGTGGTTGTGTGACAACCAGTCGTCGTCGTTGTCACCGCGCCTCGTCTTCGTGTGGATCTTCATCGCCTGCGGCTTTCTCCGTCATCGCTTGTCCCGTTCGTACTGGGAGTCGTCGCGGCAGTCGCAGTGGTGGTGCTTCCCGAATGACAGCCATGATTGCAGGCAGAACCCTGTCAATGCAAGCGAGGGGCGGCACATCGCAGTCAATCCTCGCAGCTGGCGACGGTGGCACAGGATCCATCTGAAAGTCAGAATCAGAAGCACTCAAGAATGCGCAGAGGTTCTACGGTCACTACCGAGAGCTGGAGAACCTGCTCTGCAAGCTGCGGTGGTTGCGTCGGCCGAACGGAGCTGACGATTAGCATCGAAGCCAAGCCTTCTGCCTGGCGTCTCGTGGTCATGCAGGGATGCTGGAAGTAAGCCGATAGCCACAGTGGCTTAAAGTATGTACTGCATGAAGTGTCCCTGCCGTGTCGTGCGCCTCCTCATGCTTGTCCGGAAGCTGCACATGTGCGTCCCAGTCCTGAAAGCAGGCTGCAACACAGCTCACGTGGCGACATCGATGCACGGAGTGATTGGCTCTTGTTGCAGGTGCGAATTCCCGTCCGCAAGCTCTCGACCTTAGCAACCCAAGTCCTTGATACTTCGCTCGATAGCGCTGAACCGCTCCATGACAGATTCCAGCCAGCGTTCGTGTTCCTCATCTGCGAGCCTCGTGGGGATGTCATGACCGCAACCGGGGAGGTTCAAGACTGAAGTGATGAGATTCAAGGGTGCGGATGTGGTGCAAATGGCACGTGGATGTCACGACATCTGCGAAGGGCTTCTGGCTGGTAGTAGAGGACTCTTACTGCAGGCAGCCAAGATCGTGCTCACAATACTCGAATGAAACGCTTGCACCCCGCATGCCTGAGCAGCATTTCTCGAGCAGCACTGGCTTCGTCCAGCAGCAGCTTGGCTGTCGCCATCGCCGCGCTGGTGCAGACTCAAACCTCTCCTGTACTAGACGCTGTGAACTGGCCAATATACATACAGCCTCGACAAATATGCTGTCTGCAATCATCTTTATAGCTGCACCCGTGCAGAACTACAACCCTCATTCCAGTGGCTTGAGCGGCGTGAATCGGAGCAGTCTTCGAACAGGCAAATCTATCTATCTGTCTATGCTAACTTTTCACTGAGTGTGCGTGTGTAACCCTCGCACTTCCACAGCAGCAGGTAGTACAGTCCTACAGGAAAGGAGAAACGGCCGTCCAAGCAAACTGCCGCAAGCCAGCCTCGCAGAGGAGCTTGTAAAAGCAGCCAGAGCGCAGAAGTAGAGCCCAGCAGTGTTGACCTGATAGCAGCAGTCTTGCGGTGCTCAACATACAGGCTTCTCGACAGCATGAGCAGCCGTAAACAAGCACCTAACAGGTGAGCAGAAGGCCTTGTCCACCTCCAAAGGATACTCTTATGGCGTCTGCACCTTGACACTTTCACATTCATGTGGCATTTAGGAACTGTACTCTTGCATTCCACAGTGCAGAATGGAGCGACTGCACTCGGGGGGACATGATTGCAGCGCCAGACAATCCACCAAGGGCCTAGCCCTCAGCCAGGATTGCCTGCAGAGTCAACGTACACAGCGAATGCCCGCATTGAACACTGAGTGTTTTGCGGCTGTTCATCGCAGAGACAGATCTGCTGCATGGCCGAGCACTGGCGCGAATCGCTGGCTGCTACGCAGCAGTTCATTGATACGCAGCCCGAAGCGTTCCAAAATAGCTCGGGCTGTGGCAGCGTTGATGTTAAACGTAATGAACAGGGCTCCGACTCCCTGCCATCGCATATCCACAAAAGCGGTCAACGGCGGTGAGGCAATATGCGAATCGCCCATGCAGACTTGGCTGTATGTGCTTCTGGCTAACCGAGTGCATGCTACCCAAGCCAGCGTTTGCACCGTACTTGCAACTGTTTTGGGTTTTAACGAAAATTCCACATGCCAGCAACACTTCAGCGGACACAACGGATGTCCCCGACCTGGGCTGCTCATGATGTTTGAGCAGCCGACGGGCTCACGGTTCTTGACATAAGGACAAAGCTTTTTACCGTTATAGTTCCTGTGCGGGTTGCGAAGTGGCAAATTTTTTTCACACCTGCAACCGCTACTGCGGCTACTGCTACTGCTGCTGCTGCTGCTCCTACTCCTACTACTACTAGTACTACTACTACTGCTGCTACTACTACTACTACTACTACTACTACTACGACCACCACTAGTTACTACTACTACTACTACTACTACTACTACTACTACTACTACTAATTTTGCTGCTGCTGCTGCTGCTGCTACTACTACTACTACTACTACTACCACGGTACTACTACCACCACCACCACCACTACTACCCTTACTACCGAGTCCTACCACCTCTACTACTCCTACTCCTACTCCTACTCCTACTCCTACTCCTACTACTACTACTACTACTACTACTACTACTACTACTACTGTACTGCTATGCGTACTACTACCACCACCACGACTACGACGACGACGACGACTAAGATGACTACGACGAAGACGACTACCACGCCGACATATACTCCTGCTACTGCTGCTGCTGCTGCTGCTGCTGTTACTGATTCTGCTACCGCACTTATTACTATTCCTCCTCCTCCTCCTTCTCCTCTGCTGCTTTGTTTAAACATAAGCGACCAGTAGCAAATGCGGTTCTGCAGTCGTCGTCCCCCATCGACTACTTGCAACCACTGTGAGAATACGACCCTCGACCGTTGCGTCATGTTGCGTCCTTTATACGGCATCTGCTCTTCTTTGTCATTTGTGGTAGCGGCACAGTTCCCCTGCATCCTCTGCAACTGAGACCCCTGCTCTAGGAATCGTAGCGAAGCTCTCCGGAAAGCCTCCTCCGCCTTGCACGAGCCATGGCAAGACGAATCCAATGCACGAGACTTAAGAGTTGCTAAGTCGCAAGAACAGATCCCGGTGTCTTCAGGAATGGCCTGTCGACCGCCGGCACTTCGTGCTGCAATGCCAAAGTTTGGCAGAACTGCCATTCCCTGGGAAAGCACAAGCCGCGACTGTCTTCCCGACTCGAAGACTCGAACCCACCGATGCCAACAATTCCCCAGCGAGGCCCCCGACTTTGCGGCAAACCCTGCTGGAAGACACTGACATCACACATCGTTCGAAACACTGACAGAAGTCGCCTGGCATGCTCTTTTCTCCCATTTTCGCTAAAGGACATGTGGTCTACTGAACGGCCTACGGCACGTTGCTGTCAGCAGCATGTCCCCATTAAAGTGACTTCCAGAAGGTGTGATGTGCAGAATAGGCTAAAGACTCTTCAATGTCGCCTTAGCTCATTCTCAGTTCCGGAGCATCTGCACACTACACCCGCTTTGCTCTGATCTCCCCTCCAAGGTCACTTTGAAGCCTCAGCAGACAGGTGTTCGCTGCTTCGCAAACCGCGTACCTTGCACTGCCTTCCTGGAGCCGTTGGTCTGACAAGAACACTCCTCGCCGGTCTCTTGGCAGTAAGTGCTTTTTTTCGCCGATTCCGATCTCTGCGCTTCTTTGGCGCTTTTTCGACAGGTAAACCCTGCTCTCAACTACGCCTGGCCGCCTCAGAGCTTTCCAGGAAGAGCTCTGCAGCCAGCAGCCGCCGTCGCGTCTCCAGCAAACATTCCTCCTCTCAAGCGTCTGTAGCTGGACCCTAGCCGAAGCTCGGATCTTGAGATGGAACTTCTTGGCTAGTGAAAGTTCCTGACTTGGAAACCCCTGGCTCCAAAGCGCAATATAATGGGATTCATATTGTACAGAACCTAACATGACCACAGTCTGACGCGCAAAGTGCAATAAGCATGTCCAGTATCTCGGCTTCCCGCTCAGCGATGACGGCAACAGCTGCCAAAAGGTCGCTGTCCTGCGCTCTGAACTCTTCGGCTGCATCATGACTCCGCTTTAGGGTTTAGGGTTTTTTTCCCACCCGCTTCGCTGACTAGGTCGCACTGCAGGGAACAAAGCTTCGAGAGTCGTCTGAACGTGTTGCAAGNNTTTAGGGTTTAGGGTTTAGCTTCTAACGATTCGGGGACAGGTAATGTGGCTGGAGTCACGGTGGGCATGGAAACTGACAATCGCCTCAGGGCTCGGGCTGTGGCTGCTGATCAGCAAGTCAACGAAGTTGCATCGAGACATCTCTGTTTTGGCCGGGCCCAATTAGAAACCATGAGGATGAACTTTTGAACGGGTCCAACCTCACCTGTGGATCGGCTCTTTTCAAAACTAAAGACCTGGGTTGTGCCTGTAACATACGTATCCTGCGTAATATAAACCAAACAATGCATAATGATATGACGGTACAACTTATACCGATACAGAGAGAGGGAGGGAGGGAGGGAG